CAAGGGAAGAAAACCTTTGGAGAGCCAGGTGGATGAACTTGAGTTCCAACCAATTTATGTTGTGTGTCAGGTCCGAACTGGACCACTGACCTTGAGCTATGTGGCTCTGAAAATGTGCCCCCCCAACCGAACAGACTGGCGTCTGTGGTCAGGGTAATTCTGGGAGGTTCCTTGAAAAGGGTACCTTTGTTCAAGGCGGACAAAGTCCACCATAGACGGGAGGTCAGAGTGTGATGGGGAACCCTGATTTTCCTGTTGGAGGCACTGACTTTGCATCTTTGAAAGGGAAGGAGGAACCACTGGAGGTTCCTGGAGTGTAGCCTGGCCCATGGAACGATGCCCAAGCAAGAGACCATCTTCCCCAGGAGTTGGGATAGTTGTACCAGTGGTACCCTCTTTTCCCTTCGGATCTGCTGAGCCAGCTTCCGAATGCTGACTTGACGCTCCTGGGAGAGATATACCTTGCATAGGCTGGAATCTATCAATGCTCCCAGATGGAGCAGGCGTCTTGTGGGGGTAGTGTGACTCTTTTTGAAATTCACGGAAAACCCGTGATCCTGAAGTGTTTGAATTGTGATTACCAGGTCCGACTGACCTGATCGGAAAGATTTGGACTGTATCAGTATGTCGTCTAGGTAGCACTGTACCCGTATGGGCTTCATCCTTAGATGAGCCGCCAGCACGACCAAGACTTTTGTAAAGCCCCTCGGGGCAGATGATAGGCCGAATGGGAGGGCCCGGTACTGGTAGTGACTGCGTGCATAACAGAACCGCAGGAACCTGCAGTGTTCCTGGATGATCGGAATGTGTAGGTAAGCCTCTGTCAGGTCGATGGAGGAAAGGAAATCCCCCTTCCTGATACTTGCCAAGATGGACTTTAGGGTCTGCATCTTGAATTTCCTGTAAGTGAGGAAGTAATTTAGATCTTTTAGGTCCAGTATCGCCTTCCAACTGCCTGAGGCTTTGGGAACTACAAACAGGATGGAGTAGAACCCTTTCCCCAATCTGGTCCTGAGGAACCCTTTCTATGGCTCTGATCTCTAATAAATGTGCGATGGCTGTCATGACTATTTGTGCTTTTGAAGTATTGTTTGAAACCGGGCACTGTATGAAATGATCTGAGGGAGAAGATTGAAACTCTAGGGAGAGACCCCTTCTTATTGTCTCCCTGACCCAAGCGTCCGTGGTTGTGGTCTCCCAGATGTCGTAAAACAGTGCCAGTCGACCCCCAATGGGGTAATCCTCCTTGGCGTCACTTGGACTGCCTGTAAGGACGACTGCCCAAGCCCCTAAAGGGACGCTTGGTCTGGGACTGACCCCTGGCTCCACTAAACTGGCAGTCCTGTTGGCGATCCTGTCTGAAAGAATAGGATCGCGAGCCTCTGGGCCAATCCCAGGACTGCCCTGCCCAAAAGAGCTGTCTCCAGTCCCAGGAGCTACTGGGACGGAATGCTGGTCTATGATAATCCTGCTGGGGCCATCTATCCAATTTTTTGGAGGGATGGGCCATCACCTTGTGCTTGTCCTTGCCTTCAATAATGTGAGGCTCTAGGACTGGGCCGAAAAGGTGGGTGCCACTGTACTTAGATGTTGCTAGGCGCCACTTTGCCTTTAAATCAGTGCACCATTGCTTCAACCAGAGCAGCCTGCGTGAAGCCACTGAGGCAGCAATAGATCTGGCCGAACATCTGGCCGAGTGCAAGGAAGCATCCGCAATATATTCGGATGCTGCCACGACTTTGCCTATTGCTTGGTGCGCTCTGACCTGATCTGGCGGAATGAGCGCCTGGATCCACGATTGCTGAACGTGCAAAGAAGGAGGAAGAGGTTGCCGCCCTTATGGCCCAAGCTGAAGATTGGTGAGCTCTACGAAAGGAGGACTCGAACTTTTTGTCCTCAGCCTTCAAGAATTCAGCCATGTCCCCAGGAACTGTGGTATTGGAGAACAGAGAAGTCAGTGGAGCATCCACAGATGGAACTTCTAGAAGAGAAGCGAAGGAAGAAGAGACATTGTAAAGTTTCTTGTCCAAACTGCTCTGGGAAGGCGTGGTAGCTAGTGAAGCCCACTGCTTTTCCACCGTAGTCTTGAAGACTAGTGGACATGGGATCTGCGGGTCCTCCTTGACCTTTTCTGCAAACAAGGGGTTTGCTTCCCAGTTGGCCGAGGAAGATGGTGCCTCCTCCTGGGCCGAGGTAAGTTTTACCGTGTCAATGGCCTTTATGAGGAGAGACCGAAAAACGGACGGATCAAAGAGACCGGAAGAGGTCACCTGCTCAGGTGTTGGTTCCTCCTCCTCAGACAAAGGAGTGTCTGCTACTCCTAGCTCCACTGACCCCTCCTCCCCTAATTGTGAGGAGGTTTCCGAAACATCGGAGCTAGGTCTAGTGCCATGCTCCACCCGAGGTGGGGGAATGGAAGTGGGAGGAGTAGGATGCGACTGCACCTGGCTACCTTCAGTGGATGACATAAACTGCCTGAATGCATGGTGCATAAAGGCCTGGAATTGAGCCTGGGACCACATTTCCCCTTGGTCCCTGGAGCTGGCCCCAACCTCCGTTGAGGCACGCCTGCTCTCAGTTGTATGGTGTGACAGTGAAGGGAAGGAACGAGGAGGACCAACCTGCTCAGTTTCCTCCTGAGGAGACCAAGGCCTTGGGGCTTCCTGTGATGATTCAAATTGAGGTTCCGACAAAGGGGCGTCCAGTGGGGCGGGGGAAACCATTTCAGCCCCACTGGACCTGAGCCTTTGTGCCTTGGAGAATTCTCTCTCCAGTGCTAGGTGTCTCCTTGTGGCCTCTTGCCCGGCTGACTTGGAGGTATCTTTAGAAGACAAATATTTGGTTTTAGCTTTTTTCTTCCCCTCCCCACATCCAATTCCTCTGACCTGCGCTTTGCTTGTGTGGGGGGGCACTGGTCTGAGTTGCCTGGGCCGAGGAACTGTCTGCCATTGCAGTCTAGGTACGCCTAGGCAGTTGTATCTAGAGCTGGGGGGAACCAACACGCAGATCACAGTCAGAGATGGAAAACCGATCCTTGCTCTGAACAGAAGGCAATGGCAAGAGCAGCCAGACAGTGTTCTAATGCTGTCTGCGTAGGTCCTGTGACAAAAGGTCACTGACTAACTGAGAACAGGTGGTCAACAAAGAAGATCTCTTCGCCCTCCTTTTCTAGGCCTTAAGCCCAGAAAATAACACCTTGGCCTGCTCAGATGCAGCCAAGGCCCACACCTGGGGTAGTCCCCGCAAGCTGCACCACAAGCACTGTGGTACACAAATATCTTCCCCCCCTGAACGGGTCTGCTCACAGACCAAGGCACTCAGGCAACAAATCCAAATCTGCGATAATGCAGGAATAACTGCAAATGATGTTGTAAATAAATTTAATTAGGCCTCCAAAATGGCATCCGCCATGTGGGCCCTCTCAGTAACAGCCACGCTAAGCCATGTGGTCAAAATGACGGCCGCTAGGCCTGAAAACTCTTGGAGAAGCAACAAGGGAAAACCCTGGGGTCTATTTAAAAGGAGAATCTGGAAACGAAAAAAAGGCTTGACTTTTTGTTTCCCCCCCCCCCAGGTCCCCAAGCACTTGCGATTGGTAGCGCAGCCTCCGCTGCAATCCGGAGTCAGGAAAAGTCTCCCTCGAGGCCTCAAGGTGAGAAATAGTGTTCCGGAGGCCTCCGCACAGGCAAAACGATCTCCGCTGTCTGGCTGATCGATGGGATCGCGAATAGGCTACAGATCGTTGAAGGGAGCTTCCTTCCGAACAAAAGCCTGCAGCCTCCCCTTTTTCAAAGCTCAAAGGGCTGCAGAGGAGCAAGGACAGAGTCCTTACCCCCCCACACACAATCTCCAAGGATTTCTGAGTTGTGAAGCAAAAGCCAATTTAAATCAATTTTGAATTTAAGAGTAGCCAAGTTCAACGATAAATCCCCTCCCCCCCAAAAAAACAATTAGAGAAGCAAGCTAGCTGAGGAGCCTTCCAAAACGCGTCTAGCTGAGCTCGAGACTAAGAAAAAACTAGGGAAAGTTACACCCAGAAGGACGTGTGGCAAAGTTTTTTTGTTTCTTAGTCTGAGCAGGAGGGATTAAATTCTACATCCATTCTGATGGAAAAAATAGGTCTTAAAGTTCTCTATGACAATATTTAAAGTGTTTGAAGACCACTATTATTATATTCAGTTAGCCTTTTTCAAAACTAAATATCCTTTTCATAGGACTTGGTTTTCAATCCCTTGATTTCCTTGCCATCATTTTTACTAATGCAGTGGTTCTCAACCTTTCTAATGCCGCGACCCCATAATACAGTTCCCCATGTTGTGGTGACCCCCAACCACTTGTACATCACCGGGTGCCAGGGGCGTGGCGAAAGAAAAGGGGGAAAAAATGGCGGACAGCCTTGTTTGGTGACCCTCATGAAATGGTCGTTCAACCCCAAATGGGGTCCCGACCCACAGGTTGAGAACCACTGTTCTAATGTCTCTGCATCCCTTTTAAAGGGTGATCGCCAGAACTCTCAGAATAAATTGGAACAATTACTTCCCTTGGTTTGGTAAATATACTTATGTTAATACAAGTAATGAGATACTAAATTCTACTGCTAGAATGGTCTGAAAAGAACACTGCACACTGTAAACGTTGTCACTGGAATTCTTAAAAAACAAGAATTACAGAGTTGGAAAAGATCGCATGAGTCATTTTGATCAGCCTCCAAGCTCATGCACTATTTTTGGGGCAGCAGTGTCCATTATTCTAAATAATTTGATGTCACCCATAAATCGCAACTTTACTCAATCCAGCCTCATTTATGAATGATTCATAGTGGCATCTGTCCCATACAAATCTAGAATCTATTGCTTCTGTTCTTCTGTTATACAATTCACTACTTTTACAGCTCTTTGTCACATTTTCTTCCTATAACTTGCAACATATGAAATTACTTGTATATAAAAGGAAACACAAAACTGACAAACAAAATGAAACACTTTTTCAAATCACATTACCTGTGCAAATTGGATCATACTGGGTAAAAGCTGCAATGAGGTCTGATTTGTGGGTATAAAGTTTCTCTTGCAAACACTTTAAAGCAGAAAGCTCAATGGCAGTCACTCTACAAAGAAAATTGTTAAACTGGGCAATTAGAACAATAAAATCTCTTTACAGTTCCATGTCAGAATACAGAATTTTAGGATTTCTGAAACTCCCATATGGAGAACAAACAAAATACTTAAACATAATGGTAAACTTAAGTAGTGCTACATATCCAGTTAGAAAAATTGGAAAAAAATGAACTTGCATTTAGGAAAACAACTGCATGAGTGGCAATATAATCTCAATAGTTCTTGTAGTCAGAGATTTTATATTACTAATTTACATTTTTTTCTTTAGTTATAAACTAAAAAAAAAGTTGAAAAAGTGAGGAAATCTAAGTAAAGTGGCCAGTCAGGAAATATGTACATCCAACATTACCACATTTATATACATGATAATAAGGATGAAACAAAGCATAAATAAGTAAGGGCTATACTGGATTAAGTACAAATTGAGTTTGATGGCTATTAGCATTACTATCCTAAATTTCAACTTTTCTGGCAGTCCTACAAACAGCATTTTACCTTTGTACTGCTAGGGCTGATCAACAGCTAGTTTTGTGGAATAGAAGCAAATGTAAGCAAAACTGTTAGCCATTGTTGCCGGTTAGGTTTGAAAAAGGTAGGAGGAGGATCAAATTGCCTCTGGCACAAGCTAAAGGAGCTCTTGGCTATCACTGGGCTTAAAATCATAGGTTGCCCCTTAATTCCAAGACAACCAGACATCAAGTACATGTACTCCTCGAGTTACAAGTGTAATGGAGCCTGCCCATTCCACTCGTAACTCAAAAAATTGTAGTGAATCTTGTACCTTGAACGAGATTACTCCCTTGCTCATTAAAACGCAAGCACTCGTTAAGCGAACATGAGATATCTCAGGGTGGGGAAAGCCATGGAGGGCCTATAGTGATGGGACAGGTCCCCAAGGCCTCCCCGACCCCCTAAGATACCGCATGCTTCCCCCTCCCTTCCTGCCAAGCTGGACTCATCTGGAAAAGATCCGTCTTCTCTCTGCTGCGGTTCCTGCTGCCACCCAGATCTGAGGCTGGGGGATGCTTCCACAACCCCTGGCGGCCCGATCCGGGCTCCAGAGCCCTTTTCCAGGCCGCTGCCACCCGGATTTGAGGCCAGGGAACACTTCCATTCCTCCCCGGCCCAATTCAGGCTCTCGGAGGCACGTGGAAGTGTCCCCCAGCTTCGGTTCCATTCTCTGTTACAGAGAACAGAGGCCTAAAATACCATGAGATCACGCAAGTTCAGTAGCATGAGATCTCGCCCCACTGATCTCACGTGATCTTGCATTACTTTAGGCTTCCATTCTCTGCGAACACACCAAAGGCCTGGAGCAGCCAAGAAAGTGAAGGATCTCAATCTTTGTAGGTTGAGTATTGATGGCCTGGTCCCTAGGGAGACCCAGGGCGGGAGTGGGGAAGGAAGGAATAACCAGGGTGAGTGTTGTAGAGCCACTGCGATCGCTTGTAAAAGCGACCACTGTGGTGCTGCAATATTCGTAACTTTGGGACTTGGCTGTAAGCACTAGGGGGCACTCATCACGTAACTTTGAACGAGAGTTAAGTGAACGCTCATAACTCAGGGATTACCTGTAATATATACCAATGGATAGTTTAGCATTCTGTTTCCAAATATGCATGTTATTTTAAGCCAGACATGTCAAACACAAGGCCCGGGGGCCGGATGCGGCCCACGAAGTGGTTTCATGTGGCCCGTGAAGCCATCCTGGAAACAGTGAGGGAATGGCCCCCGCTGCCTTGGCCCTGGCCAATGTACAATTTTGTGGTGGCCATCTATGCTAAAACGCATTCAGTCTTAGCTCCACAAGGCCGTCTAGAAACAACAAGGAACCCAGCCACTGCCACGTTGGCCCCGCATGTGGGTGCATGCTAGGGAGGTGTCACCCTTTGTGAGGAATGAAGAAATGGACCATGCCTTGGCACTTGCCCCGGTCCCACCCCCTTCTGCCAGAGACCCTCAGATCTGTCCCACTCCTGCCCCGGGCCCCACAGGCACCCTTGAGGCGAATGATGTAGAGCTGGCCATGCCCACCCAGTAGGCCACACCCACCCATTCATGCTCACCCAGTAGGCCGCACCCACCCTGGCCACCACAATGCTGATGCGGCCCTCAATGAAATTGAGTTTGACACCCCCGTTTTAAGCAATAGGCATGCTTTTTTAGTGTTACCTTTGATGAAGTGTCTGCTTACGTGTAGATTTGCTAACTTGATACTGAACAAAACGAGGAATCAAATCTGGATTTAATTTGATATAGGCCCCACGATTGCTTCCTTCTTCATAGTAGTTTGAGGCGGAAAAAATCGTGATGACCTATTTGAAAAAGAACACAACTATCACTTGAAATACAGTATGCTTCAAACCAGACTAGTGACAGGTGAACAAATGACAGAATTAACCAAGCATTATGCTATAATTCTATATACTGTGAGCACTATATAAGTAGCTTTTTCCATTGTTGGAAAAACAATGAAAAAGAAGTTTTCATAGCTATGGCTCTGTGTATCTAAAAAATGAAAATAATCAAGTTCTGAACACATCTTTTAATGTGTTTTGATGCACACATATTATAGCTCACTCCTACAGATGAAGAATGGAATAACTATAAATATCCATTTCCTTGTATATAAAGCTTCTCCCTCATCAAACATTCTACATTCTCAGATATGGAAGAGATTTTGAAGGAAGGACAAGAAAAATAAGTCATCCAAACTTCTGGCAGTCATTAGATTTTCCAATGTATGGAAGAGGGTAGAACAAAAAATGGCAAATAGAGTTATAGCAATTTCCTACAGATGCAGAAAACTAACATAACTATTTGCCAATAGAATATTTTTCTCTTTTCAGCTAGTCTTTCCATCTAAATATGGAGTACTGATTCCTCCTTATTCTACTTTGCATTGTGGAAAAAATGAAATCATGATTAAAACTCAAGAAATTACACTGTGGTATGATTAAGTACCCTTTTGGTGGATAATGATTGCCATATCAATACTGAGTTGGAACTGTTTTTCTAGTACAATCTGATAAAATCTTTCTAGCTGGTGAACGTTTTTGTGAAATTTGAACTTTAAAGTACCAATTACCTTTCCATTATGACCGATCTCATAACCTTCCTGTTTGCATTGGTGAGACCTGATGAGCAATTTCAAATTATAACGCTGCAGCAATCTGGCAGTAATATCTGGACCAAAGTAACAACCTCCTCCTCGAATTTTATTTGGTGAACAACCATTCTGATGCTTAGGATCACTCCAGAGAATATCCATCACCTTTCCATGCAAATGAATAAACATAAAATAATCCTATTAACTTCCAGTATTTGAAATACTGGAACTCATGTCTTTACTGATTCCCACACATGATATATATGACGGTGAAACCTATGATACTGATGGACTAATTAGAATGGTAAGAAAGTTAAATCACAATGCAGTCTGGTTTTGATAACTGCAGTTGAGAAAATTATCTTTCTAGCTTCAATGAAATAGACCCATGTTGACACACTCTGCCCATCTTCTAGCAGTTGATTCTACCATCTGGTGGTAAATAAAGTTTAAATAAAGTGCCTAGAGGGAACTTCCCCAAATGGGAGACAATTACAGTATAGACGCCCAATTATTGATATATTAATAAGAATATAAGGCCTTTTTATCATCACAAAAATGGAATCTCTAGGAGACAGGAGCTGCACATTACCCCACATTTTCTGTTAACATGCAAGTATTTGTTATAAACAAACAAGATAAATTTGGGGTGGCAAATTTCTAGTATAAATCATTTATTCAGCTTGCAGTTGGTTGCTCAATTAAAGCTTTATTTTCAATCTTTGTTACCAGTTTGAACATCCTTATAACTCATATTTTGGAAAAAGAGACTATATATAAAGTTTTAGCATACTTGTTCCTTTTCTTTTGCTGTTAATTCTGGAGCTGTATTTGTGATAGTCAAGTTGTAAGGCTTGAGACACTGTGCATTCTGAAATGGGCTAGAACTGGTTCTGTCATGGGTGCCATCAAGATTGCCTTTAACATCACTCGTTTCCTTGCCATATTGTCTTCTCTCACAGGATGCTAATGTAGACTTTATTACATTTTTCTTGGATATGTCTTGCCCAGAATTGCATTTTTTTGTTTCTGTGAGGTTGATACTGTTTTTCACAAGATTTGTTCTCTGTGGCTCCTGGATTGCTTCCCTATTTGACTTCACTGGCCTCAGCAAAGACTTCAACTATGAAGATAAAATTTATGATCATTATCCTCAGAACAAATACATTGATATATATAGATATGCAAATGCTGTTTGGTCAGGAATAGATTAATCTGTCTTTCAGTGTATGTTGGGAGCCCATTCCAAATGTAAGTGGAGACACAAAGAAAAAAAACATACTTAAAGGATATGTATGTATGCATGTATGTATGTATGTATGTAACTATGAAGACAAACCTTTGGAATGTACCCTCTTATTGTTTGACAAAGAAATGTCAAAGAATTATACTCCATAGAATTACCTGTAGTTGTTCTTTCAGTAACATTTCTTTCAAACTTCTTTGTCATCAGTTTAATCTAAACGATTGGAAAGCACCATCTAAAAAGAATTTTTTTCCTTTCTGAAGAACTTGCTTAAAACGATATATGTATGTACAGTATATATATAGTACATATACAGATATGTATAGAGTATGTACATATATGGTGTATATAGATAGGTGAGTATATATGTACAGTATATATGTATAATGTAATAATCTAACTCCCTCCTCATGATTTTTGCTTTACATTAAAAATTAGAAAGTATTTATATTGAAAAAAATAACTTCAACCTCTATAAGATGAAATGCAAAGATTAATGTGTATATAATACAACAAATAATCCATACTATTATAGAATTGCTAATAATATAACCTATGCTAATATTATGTACATTATCTCTAGTACTTTAAACATACAAAATAGTAGGCTTAATGCTCACTGAATTTAGAATTTTACTTCTTGTAAACAAGACTGGAGCTAAAACCAATAATGTAAAAGTACTTTTATATGTATAATTCCTACCTTGTTTCTGTGAAATGAATTTAGGAAATTCAAATCTGTAGTATCTGATATTCCACCATGTAAAATAAGAATTTGATTGTCAATAATAGTAGCAAGAGGAAGCCAGCTGTAGACATCTTGTAGAAAATGCAAAATTGGTTTCCCATAGGTCTGTCAAATGAAATACTGGGTTAGACATTCTTGAACTATTCCTTAGAAATCTATGGACAGCTTCATTTTGGCTTTACAATAAAACAAGAACAAATTTGAAGGCAAGTATTTTTAGGACATCTCTAGGCCAGTAATTGCTAATTTTTGTAAAATAGTACAGTCTGTTCTGTCTCTTTGTTAACTTGATGGCCTTTATCAAAATGAGATAAAATACTAACCTTATACTTCTTCATAATTTCTTTTGTGAAACCATATCTGAAATGAAAATAATTGTTGGAATACATGTTAGAATGTATTTGGCATTGTAACAACTACAAAATTATTCAGCCAGTAGATGGCAGTGTTTAGTTTGCATGTATAGTTATAATCTATGGTTCTTTATGTTCTGAGGAGAGTTTCCTGTGACAGTTGACACCGTCAAAGCTCATGGTGACTGTACACTGTACATTTTATTTGATCTATATGGCTATGTAACCATCCTCTGTTACCAATCTGCATGGCTGTATAATACAGGTAGTCCTCGAGTTACAACAATTGAGCCCAAAATTTCTGTTGCTAAGTAAGACTTTGTTAAGTGAATTTTGTCCCATTTTACAACCTTTCTTGCCATAGTTGTTAAGTGAATCATTGCAGTTGTTAAGTTAGTAACACAGTAGTTAAATGAATCTGGCTTCTCCATCTTGTCAGAAGGTCAGAAAAGATGATCACATGACCTTGAGACATTGCAACCGTCATAAATATGAGTCAGCTGCCAGGCATCTGAATTTAGATCACATGACCATGGGGATGCTGCAACAGTCATACGTGTGAAAAATGGTCATGTCACCTTTTTCAGTGCCATTGTTACTTCGAATGATCACTAAACAAACTGTTGTAAGTTGAGGACTACCTGTAGTCTTCTGCTACAATTTCTATAGAATAAAATAGAATTTCTATAGAATAAAACAGAATTTTCTAAGAAGTTATGGGCCCAGCTTCAACATAGAGATAAACCAGAGATAAACACAGTACCCAGAGATGAAACCCCAGGTAAACCAAAATAAACCGGCTTTAACCCAGAGATAAACCCAGGTAAATCAGCTTCAACCCAAAGTAATCCAGAACCCAGTGGTAAACCAGAGATAAGCCCAATATAAACCCAGGTTAAACCCAGATTAGAGGAGAAATATAAAGTTCAGCACAAAACGGAGCAAGCCAGTCATAGTCAGCTACAGGAAATAAGTGCAAGATACAGCAACAGAAAGAAGACTGCAACAGAATAAATAAATAAATAAAAAATGGCCAGTAACAAAGCTGAAACAAAGGTTTCATTTGCAAATCTGACAAACCAGAATTACCACTCTTGGAAATTCAAGAGGAAAATTCTGCTAATATAGGGGTGTTAGACTGCCGGCCCATGGGCCGGTTGCATCATACGGAGGCTGCGCCCACCCCAGCTCCGACAATGCAAACAAAAAGTGCAATACGTCATGACACATCACGTGATGCAGTGAGTTTGACACCAGTGTGCTAATAAGTGAAGACACCAGTGTGCTAATAAGTGAAGATACGCAGAAATGTATAAATGAAGTTAGGCCAGAACACCCTTCAGATGAGTTGATAGTGAAAGCTCAGAAAGCTCAGAACATCATCTCTCTTAGTATATAAGATGATCAAATCATACATGCATGTAAGTGTGAAAATGCTAAAGAAATGTGGGAAAGAGTACAAAAGTTGCATGGAAGAACTAATCTAAGCAATGATGAACTGTATCAGCTGAACTGAAATCAGGTGGTTAATACTGCCAAGAGGGAGAAACATTCAAACTGCATTCACACATGGGACAGGTGACTTGGACACAGAAATCCTGATATAATAAAGAAATTAACTGAGAAAGACTGTCCAAGTGGAATAAAAGAAGAAATCAGGCCACAAGAGGTTTCAATCAGGAGATCCACCAGAAGCAATAAAGGCATCCCAGCTAAATGTGTCTTATGTTGCCTGCATAGCATTAAAATCAAAGCCAGATTCATGGGATGAGATGCAAAGACTTCCAACCCATGAAAACAAAAGTTGGATCAAAGTTGCTGATGAAGATATGACATCTCTTAGTAAACTGCAGACATGGACACTTTTAGAACTACCGCATGGCAAGTGTGCAAATGGGTTTTTAAGGCCAAATGTGACTCTGAAGGCAAATGTGACTCTGAAGTTCCCCACCATTGGTCTAAAATAATGCATGAGGAAAGTATAGTAAAATACAGTTCCAAATACCAACACAAGAAAATCAGGGTTAAGTCAGAAACATTATAAAACTCTCAGAAAAAAAGCATATTTAAGAGCTCAAGCTGGAGAAAGAATAAAAATGACCATACCTAAGATTCATCAGGTAGTCCTCATGATTCCCTCTGTTCAGATGTAAATGGTTAGGGTAAACAAGGAGAAATGCAAACAGGATTATAAGTATTTCCATGGAATTGTTCCCTCTGTCAACAAAATCACCGTTAAAAACGTAAGGGTTTTCTTCTGAAGGAAGGCCATTCTGCAGAAGAAAATAAAACAGCAGAGTAGCTAACATTGCAATGCAATTTTATAGAAATATCCCTGCAACATTACTAGAATACTGTATAATATTCTTTCCTAGCAACACTTTTCCAATTCTGCCAGAGCTCATAATAGGAGGGCTATATCAATCATGAAGGCATTATAGCCTTATCTAACTTTGGAGATTCTATGTCAATATAATGGATAATTCAATATTTTTACATCCATATATCCCTCCAAATAACACTCAAGATCATTCAAGAAAAATGATAATATAAAATACTCCATTACAATTAAAATAAAACAAATCAACTAAAAACATACAAATAGAAAATAAATTAACATCCATCACCAATATACTTCAGCACACAGATCAACTTCTGTATAAGAACAATAAGTCCTAGTTGAGCCAATCTTGGCAAGTAACTCTAACATAAATCAGTGTTAAAACATGTTTTATATTTTATTGCCTGTGTTTTCATTACAGTGAAATTATTATGACAATAATTTGTTACATTTAGAATCTGCTTTACCAACAAGAAACTAAAGACATTTTAAAATGTTCTTTTCTCCGATGCAATGCGAGGCATTTTGATTTTATATAAATATAATAATATTTTGTGATAGATATTTACTTCCATTCTCACGCACGCGTCAGCTCTCACTGCCCATGTAATTAGGAATATGTTTGTAGTACTTAAAAGCCACAAGCTTTTCAGAACACACTTGTTGGAGCAGTGAATTAAAAGTGTCCTCAATAACAAATGAAGCATATTCTGAAAATATATGCAAATTACATTTATCCAGGCTGGGAAAGCTGTTGTTTTTTTTTGGGGGGGGGGGTTGTAATATTAGTTTTTAAAGCATCTTTAAATCTGTCATTAAATTTGAATTGTAAATGCAAAACATTCCATCTATTTTAAAATATAATATATAATATACATTTTTTAAAATAAAATATAATCTGAGGACCCAGATTGTTGGGGGCAATGTAAATATATATACATTGCTTACTGGTGTACACCGCTTAGAGAGTGCTTGCACTTAAAGCGGTATATAAGTCTCATAAAAATAAAAATAAAATAAATAAATAAAAATAATAAGACTTTCCTGTCTCCATTTGCTTTTCTTAAGTGTGTAACAGCTTTAGCTTTAGTTACTTGCAAATGGAATGAAAATGAAATCTTTTGCAGCAAAATACAGCTTGTTTGTGGAGCTAAGATTGCTCCTATTTCATTAGATAAAAATAATAAAAAAATCAAATAATAGCAATAGCACTTAGACTTATGTACTTCTTCATAGTGCTTTACAGCCCTCTCTTAGTGGTTTACAGGGTCAGCATCTTGCCCCCAACAATCTGGGTCCTCATTTTACTGACCTCGGAAGGATGGAAGGCTGTATCACCACCAAATAAATAAAACATCCATGGTACATATAACTATATTAAGTTGTAGGGTAACAATAAATATTAACATATCCACAAACACAATAAATGACTATTATAATACCCTACTGTCCTAAATAATACCTTACTGTCCTAATAAAATAGGATATAAAATTTAATATTCCTTAGATACCGTACAACAGCCCATCATTAAACAGGAAAAGGCAAGGTAACATTGAACTACCAAAGAAAAATGGGTCTTAACTGTTCGCAAAAAGGCTTCCTCAGGGGGACTAATCTAAAGTACAAAGGAAGGCTGTTCCACAACATTGATGCTTTCATCCAGAAACATTGTTTCCTTCTCCAGCCTCCTCTTAATTTACAAACATATGGAAGAACCAACAGTTTCTCCAAAACACAGCTATGATGATACTTTGGTCTTTGTAGATAAAAAGCAACACTTGGAATTGCATACAGAAATTTACTATCATTCATAAAGGAACTTGAGCACAAGTCTAATATTTTCTTGTTGGTTAACACTTGCTAGCAACCAGGCTACTGCGTTTTGTACCAAGCATAGTTTCTAGGTATTTTTCAGAGACAGCCCCATGTAGAATACATTGCAGTAGTCAATGTGCATGGTATTGAAAATCTTAGTTATTGTTGCATGATATCAGTCTTTCAAGATAGTCCAGACAAGGAGCACCAACCAGTAATAGCAATAGCACTTAGCCTTATTGTCAAAACGTCCTCCCCGGTGCCCAAGAAAGAGCCAGCAAGCAGGAACGGTTGACAAACGGTTTAATCCGCACAGGAATAAAGTTAGCCCTGGGAGTGAATTGCTCGCAGTGCTTTACATAGCCTCTGCACGCAAGCCTTACCCCCAGCCCACAAGCCGGCATCCAGCCTGCAGGGTTCAAAAGCAACCAGCAGGGGCGTCACCCTTTTCCCCATCCCAGCTGGTGCACAATCAAGCCTCCGGTCTGCTGTTCCCGGATGCAGGTAACCCCTCTCCCCGTTCCACTGTCCGTCATCGCACATTCCTCCATTCCCACGCCATGGCTGTTGCTCAGGCTGTCGTGGGCTCTTCCCCTTCTGGACCGGCAAGGTGCTGGTCCTCGGGTGTTGTCCCCATTGGCGTCCTCCCCATGAGCCGCCAAGTCTCTGGACCGGCAAGGTGCTGGTCCTCGGGTGTCGTCCCCGTTGGTGTCCTTCCTACGAGCCGCCAAAGCTCTGGACCGCAGGCAAGAGTCCCTGTATCACCGGCTGTGCAGGTGAGGGGACGGTGGTATAGCAGGCGGCTCTCCACCTGCCCATGAATGGCGGCCCATGCCCTTTGGCTGGAGAACAGGCGAGGAGGCAGCGGTGGGACAGGCGGCGCCTCGCCTGCCCGTGAATGTCAGCCCTGTGGGGAGTCCAGCGGCGGCACCTACCACGGCAAGGGGGTGCAGGGTGGCGACGGTGCAGCAGACGGGCCCCCATCTGCCCATGGATGACAGCCACGCAGGGTGTCCAGCGGCGGCTCCGACCATGGCGAGGGGCTGCGAGGCGGCGACGGCGCAGCAGACGGGTCCCCGTCTGCCTGTGCATGTCGGCCACGCGGGGCTTGACACTTATATACCATTTCACAGTGCTTTACAGCCCTCTCTAAGCAGTTTACAGAATGAGTATAATGCCCCCAACAATCTGGGTCCTCATTTTACTGACCTCGGAAGGATGGAAGGTTGAGTCAACCTTGAGCCAGTGGGAATCGAACTGCCAAATTGCTGGCAGTCAGCAGAATTAGTCTACAGTACTGCGTTCTAACCATTGCGCCACCACAACTCTTATACTGTATTATACTAGCTTTTGTAAGATTAAAGAAGCAGAACTAAAAATAAAATCTTTGGCAGTACGTTCATTTTTACTGTAGCAATTCTTCCTAGTATTGACAACTGCAGATTTTTCCATCTTTCGAAGTCTATCTTTATTTGTTTCAATAATTTTGTATAATTGTCTTCTTTTATTGATGAGCATTTGGCCAAAAGATGAATACCTAAGTATTTAACTTTTTTTCACTATCTGTACCTGTTTTCTTTAGCATTTGCCTTCTCTGTTTATCTGTGAGGTTCTTAACTATTACTTTAGTTTTTTTCTTTATTTATTTTTAATCCCACTATTTCTCCATACTCTTCTATCTTTCCCCATAGCTTAGTAATCGTCTCTAAAGATTCTTCTGGCAAATGCTTGTAATTTATATGTTTCATCTTTTATCTTCAATCCTTTGATTTCTACGTCCTGTCTAATCCTGGCCCCTTCCAAGATGTTTGCCATGCCTCCCTTGCTTCTGTGAACTAAGGTGTCTCTTATCTGACTGGTGTCTAATCTGTGGATTTTTCTCCTTTCAAGGACATTTTCACAGACCATTGCACAAAGGTCCTTGAGGTCCAGGTAGGCTTGCAACTGGCACATTACCCAAAGCTGAGCAAAAGGCCCTGGACACAGCTTCTACCTGTCCATCCAGCAATAGCCCCACCACTTTATATATTTATGTCTTTCAAAAAAAACCCCATAAGTTCAAATACTCTGAATTCTTTTCTTAATTTAAGAAAATGCTTCATAATATCCAAGCTTCTAATTGCTTTTCTTTTCAAGAAGAAAACTTCTAAGCTATTTCAACTTCCATTTACATTTTGTAAAGAATGCCAAAAACTCCTTGTTTTTAAGTTTCACATTTTCCAATATCCTTTAATAGTGCTTCCAATCAACCTCCAATTATAATTAACAGTGTGCCTGTGGAAAGATGCCCAAAGCTTAATAACTGATACCATAAAGTGCTGATCATCTGGATGCAGGTCATTTGAGCTAAGCACTATCTTAAAAACTCAATAATGCTTTAGTTACTTACTTTGTAGAATATCAGCAGAAGATCGTCTAACTTTCCATGTAAATCACCTAGAAAGAAAAACAGTTTTAGTGCTGCATATAGTACAAAGCTTTCAGATGAAACTTATCAGCTGCCAGAATTAGAAATCATAACTGTCCAATATTTAAGAAATATATGTGTGAAGGAGAAAATGTAGGCACTCAGGTGTACTTGAATAGATTTTGAATTGGAAACCAAAAGGGAAAGAACCAACATAAAGAAACTCACTACATAAATATTTCAATGCCAACTCAGAAAACTAAAAAGGATTTGCTGGAAGTAGGATATGTCTCATTTACTTCTAATCAGAAATTTGGCTTGAGCTTCAATAAAAATGATGCTTTCATCTGTCACTAATCAGATTTCAGCCATAGAAACTATTATTTGCTTGAAGAGCAGGTCATAATCTCTCTCAGATACTCTTATAGTTGTGCAAATGAGGATACCGGTTAAACGAAGTACATATGGATTAGCAAGGACAGGCTTGCTTGCAAGACAATTGTAATTTCACCCTATTTAAGTGGCTCACATTTTGAGGAAATATAATGGTATTTTCTTATGCACAGCAGTAACTGAATAGAACTCACTGAATTGTATAAAATATAAATAGAAGCTTCCTTATGTGGCTTTGCACTGAGCGGATTAAAAGCTGATTAAAACATTCTTATATTGTATGAGTACAATGAATTCAATCTGCTAGCTGCTCCTGTGATTGGGAGATACAATGCTGAGTCTGAGAGTTATAACAAAATAATTATTCTTCTTTGCAGTTGCTGAACCTCCTCAAGCAGACCCAGGGAGTTCATCCATAATATATATCACTGCTCTAACAAAAGAGTATATGTAGGCTTGAATTGTGGAGTCCTTGGAGGTTTCTGAGCTTGGTTTTTGTTTGCAGATATCTCATTACCCAACTAGGTAATGTAGGAAGACAGCACCCCCCCCCCAGAGAAGGAAATATTTTGGGGGATATTAAAAAAAATCAGAATATATTTCCCCAAAGGAATAATAGAAAATCTTAGGCCAGTGGTGGTGAACCTATGGTACGGGTGCCAGAGGCAGCACTCCGAGCCCTCTCTGTGGGCACATGCGCTGTAGCCCCAGTCCTAGACCTTCAGCTGGGTTTTATAAAACCTTTTTGCTTTAGGCCTCCGCTGCCATGTAAAAAAAAAAGGTTCAATCAGTCAGTCAATTTCAACTTCTCGCAGGAAAAAAAAAGATCTTGCAAAGTTGGAATTAATTGATTGAACTTTTTAGTCCCACGGAGTCTGCTGTTACCACCCCAGCCACGCCCACCAAATGGGCCACACCCACCCGGCACCCAATGATGCATAAGTGGGTTTTGGGTTGTAGTTTGGGCACTCAGTCTCTAAAAGGTTCACCATACTGTCTTAGGCAGACACACACCCCACCAAATCTCTCTGCCCCAAGCAGAAACCAGGTCTATAGAAATTGCAGATTTGATAATCCTTTCAGAAAGACTGGAGCCAGGAAACTTAAAGCTGATGGAATTAGAAAGACAAAGATCCCTAGAACCAACAACCCCTCACCCAAAAAATCCAACACAGGACATAGCCATCAGCCATAGCCCCAGGGAAGCAGGACATGACCTTTGGGACAATAGTGGTAGATTAATGTCTACCACTATTAGAATATCAGAAAGGCACACTGAAACTCAGGTCAAAGTTCATGCCACAAGAACAACTCCAAACACAAAAGCCCAAGAACGTATAAAAACACACCACTCCCTGCTCCATGTGGTCAGATGCTCCAGAGCCACGTCTTGTGATTCTGCTCTTCAATAAACTACAACCTTCTTTCAAAGCAGTTTCCATTTCTTTTATTCCCGCTTGGACTGGATCCTTGATGAAGATTTTTCTTTCAACAATTTGGCACCCAGAATGGGACTTCAAGCTAACCTCTCCAATGGATAGGACTGAATAAGCCTCCATCTTGCCAGCAACAGATCTCTTGTGTCTGTGGGTGGATTTCCCAGACTCTGCCCATTTGGAGTGAAGGTAGTAAAGGCAATTTTGAGTTTGAGCTCAAGGGCTGCTTGGTAAAGAAAGTGAGTACTTCAAAATTTTAACTTTTAAAGCCCAGGGGAGCAAGAGAAATGTGTGTACGTCTGTGTGAATGAGAAAACCTTCTCCCTATCACAGTTGGATCTTGCTTCCTCTGGGCTTTTCTAACCGCCAAAAGACCTGTTCAACCAATAGACTCTGGAAAGCATAGGGGTTTGCCCAGAGTGCAGGACTTTTTGTTAGGAAAAAGGGAGAGGCTGTATGAACATGGAATGTAATGAGTGAATGAGAGAGTTGAACCTGGGCAACTGGCTGAAACAACTTGGCAAAGTTCCACTCTTCTAGGAGGGACCCTCATACTTTGTGAAAGTGAAATCAGAGTCCTCCCAGACCCCTTTGTGGGCGTGGCCACTAAGTGGGTGTGGCCACTGAGGGGCAGGACCACTGAGTGGGCAGGACCACTGAGTGGGCGTGGCTATGGTCATGGCAGTGTGGGTGGGCATGGCCATCTTGATGTTGCTCCTGGGGAGGGATACCTGTGGGGGCCGGGCAGGGTTGGGGGAGATCCAGGGATTCTGTGGCAGATGGGCCAGTGGGCAGAAGGCTCATCCTTCAGTGTGAGGTGAGGTGAGGGAGGGGGCAGGGCAGGGATGCCATTGTCATAAAGCAAGGTAAGGCAAGGCAGGGGCCGGGGCTGGTTGCAGACAAAGGGGGGCTCTGGTGAGGAGGAGGAGGGCTTAAGCACACTTAGCAATTGGAGTGGGGATCCCCCTCAAAACAAACGTGCTTCGTGGGTAACCTCAAAGCATGACAGAAGAGACCAAAACCTGCTGCAACCATCCAGCAGATGGGAGGGGAATAAAAACCAAACAAGCCCCCCCCCCGCCAATCCACAACAGAAACTGACAACAGCACTTTAAAAAATGACTTAAGACCATTTTTCACACTGTGGCGCACTCCCACTCCTCGCTGCTGCCAGGAGGGTGGGCAGCCGGTGTGCGAATGCTGCATTGTTGGGGCCTGTTGGGGCCAGCGAGCAACTGAGGAAGCTCCAGACACCTGGCTATCTCTTCCTCTACTACGTAGCTGGCTGGCCTAACAATGGAGGTATCGTTGCTGGCGCCACCACCATTCCCACCATTCCCACCTCTGCCACCACCATTGCCTGCATCACCACCGCCATTGCCTGCATCACTGCCGCCATTTCCACCATCGCTGCCACCATTCCTGCCATTGCCTGCATCGTCGCCATTCCCGCCATCGCCGCTGCCATTCCCGCCTCCGCCATTGCCTGCGTCACCACCATTGCCTGCATCACTGCCGCCATTTCCACCATCGCTGCCACCATTCCTGCCATCGCCTGCATCGTTGCCATTCCCGCCATCACCACCACCATTCTCGCCTCCATCATTGCCTTCATCTCTGTCGCCATTTCCACCATCACCACCACCATTCCCGCCTCTGCCATTGCCTGCATCACCATTGCCACGTTGAGGAGGAGGTCCCCGGTCCCTGGCCTGGCCATGCGAGGCAGCTCAAGGCTTTGAGCTGCCACCCCAGAGGATGTCTCAGGTACCTGGCCCACAGGTTGGAGAGGGAAACTGGTGGCATGGAAAGAGGTCGAACCTCAGTTGTGGCAACCGCAACAATGCTAGCCCCAGCCTCGGCCAGGCGGCACACTGGCTGCACACAGGACACCCGGAGTGAAGAATGGTCACGGCGGCAACCTGCCTTCCACCTTCACAGCTGTGGAAGTTTCCCTCCGATCAGTCTGACACACCCGAAGGGGAGAGGGATGGGAGCCTCTGGGCAGAGGCCGCAAAAGGAGGAGAGGACCCCAGAGCGGGCAGTGTGGGGCTGCAGGGCGGGACGATCCGCCAATTCCCCACCAAGCAGGTGGGATCGCAGATCGGCTGAGGGCAGGGAAGCCATTGTCCCCAGCTTTGGTCAGGAGGTGTGCTGGCCACCTGGTAGAGGCCCCGAAAGGAGATGACCCCGGAGCAGGGAAGCCATTGTTGCAGCATCGCCGAGGAGGATGGAGGAGGAGGGCCGGCTGGGGACGGGCTGGTGACAGGCACAGCGCTGCCACGAGGGGAATCTGACCCGTCCCAGCCTGGGGGGGGGAGAGGCCGAGGGAGCCTGAAGGGAGGCAGGTGTGGTGCTCAGGGGTAGCCACTCCCCCCCACTCCAGTAGAAGGGCTGGCTGGCTTTGGTGTCACCTGGGCAGGCCTGGCCATGCATCTGCCCAGCAGCACTGGCAGGCCTGGCCTTCCTTCCTTCCTTCCTTCCTTCCTTCCTTCCTTCCTTCCTTCCTTCCTTTCTTCCTTCCTTCCTTGCTTCTCCCTCCCCTCCTTCCTTCCTCTCTCTCTCTCCCTTTCTCTAAAGTCCAAACTTACATGTCCTCTTCCCCCCCCCGCTAGCTTTTTGCAAAGTGCGCAAACAGATACTGCATCCTATTTGACTTTTCCAAACTCACATCCCACCATCGCTTCCAAAGGGTGTCTCCTCGCTCACTCACTCTCTTGCTGCACTCCCACCAAAACCTGCTTTTATACTGGTTCCTCTCTCCCCGCCCAGCTCTCACAGCTGTTCCCATGAGAGCGCTGCTGAATTTGGTTTTCCTGCCCTCTCCAGTTCCCACTAGTGAGGCGCTCGTGGAAAGGGGGAGGAGCATCCCTCTGGCCCGCCTGCCAACAGAAAGGGCTCTGCGTGCCCAGTGTGGCACGCGTGCCATAGGTTCGCCACCACAGGTTTAGGATATTGTTTTCTGCTAGATTGTTTGCCTGATGTTAATCCTGCTTATCTGGTTGTTGGCTGCTGGAGACGATGTGTTCTAGTATTTTTGTTTCCTTTTTAGCTTTTTAATTGTCTTGTTTGAATGCTGTATAAATATGGTTTATTTCTATATATCTATTGATAGCTGATTTGTTTAAATGCTAAATTTCCAGGAATTCCCTATCATTTTGGATTTAGCTTGGTCTAGGATGCTCACAGTTCTCCCCTTAAACTGTGATTGAGTCTATCTGTGGGTTGTGAGATTAAGGAATATCATTGTGTCTTCTGACTGCTAGTTGTTTAAAGTATACCCTGCTAGCCTTTTGCTTGTCTGTCCTACATAATGGCTGTTACAGTGCTTACATTGTATGTTGCACTGTATATTGTAGATAAGACCTGTTTTTTCTACTTGAGCTACTGGGTCTTTTGGTTTACTTAAGTTGTTTTGGAGAGCTTTGATTGATTTGTGTGCTACAATAATGCTGTGTACTTATACCACTGTAACCACATTGTGTCAATGTAATCAAGGAAAAATGATTAGGAAACTTGAAATGTTTACATCTTTACTGATATAATATTTATGATAATGAGAAGACACGGATGGTCTATGGTCATCAAAGAGTGCTATTTTGACCCAGAAGATTCCCAAGTCTCAATCAATGCCTTTTCAAGAATTTAAAGAAGGCAAGAGTGGAAAATTTTACTTTTTCTCCTTTTTACTTTCCCTTTCTCTTAGCTATATATTAAAATATAGCTTATACGTTACAATTCTTAGTATTTTGTATATTTTCATAATTTTAATAGTTCCAGAAAAAAAGCATTTCTCAATAGGCATTCCTTCTATTATAATAGGATGACCAGATCTGGATGGCAAAAATCTGGAGAAACTTTAGGGCGCAGATATCTAACTCTTTGGTCCCATCTAGTGCTCATCTTGAATTTTGTAGCCCAGATTTGGTACCTTCCAATTGGTAATAATGTATCAGAACCATTTCTTGAAGACTGGAGAAGGTTAGAGTTGAAATTAATTATTTACCGCGCAAAAGAACTTTTTATAGATGGAAATGTAGTTCTTTTCATAAAAGCTTGCCTGGTTGGATCACTGACTCATTCAGTAACATCTGACAGAAAAAAACTGGGAGGAAGTTGTTTGATTTACTTAAAATATGTTCTGGAGTGTGAGTCACCAATCCTTTTTTGGAATGATAAAGAAAAATTGGGAAGGATTTGTACTAGGAGGAAGGAACTATCATCTCAAAGGCACTGACAGCTAAAAATATTGCACAGCCCTCCAAATTCAAGAGATATTTTAGATTCTATATCACCCTGATACTATGAGTCACTTAAGAAAAGTGTTGCTAGCTTACCACAGATGGTTACTTCTTTGGCATAAGAAGTTGAGAGATGAGTGATGTTTGGCATTTGTTGAAGGACTTTCCTGGTCTCATGAAACAGCTGAAGCACATACCGAGCATGTAGCTGCTGCATATCATATATGAAGACAAAAACAGCATGTTACTAGCATCCATTCACTAAAGCTAAGCGAGAAGGATGTTGTCTGTCTGAGAGAAAATTTAACATTTAGAGGACATTTAGAGGCCCTGCTCTCTCGAAGAACAAGTGGGCAAATTCTTTAATGCTATTTTAATAAAGATCTCTGAACTGTACTTGGGCAATACTGGTTTCAACCAGTGTATTACACCACTCCTTTAAAAAAATGAAGTGCTAAATAGTCTCAGCTTGGTTGTCAAGGTATCCAAAGCCCATGGTTTGGATTTAAAACCAACTAAAGAAATAAAAAAGAAAAAAATCCACAAATTATGATGTACTAGAGTAAAGATGGGGAACTACGGCCCCTTTATTACTTGTGGACTTCAGCTCCCAGAACCTGCCTCCAGAAGTGGTGAATGCTCCAACACTGGAAATTTTTAAGAAGAGGCTGGACAACCATTTGTCTGAAATGGTATAGAGTTTCCTGCCTGAGCAGAGGGTTGGACTAGAAGACCTCAAAGGTCCCTTCCAACTCTTCTACTACTACTACTACTACTACTACTACTACTACTACTACTGGAGTTGAAATCCACAAGTCATAAAAGGCCCATAGTTCCCAACTCCTGTACTAGAGCTACCTTTGATTTGATCCCATCTGGGTAGATGTATTTCTTTAAAGACTATCATAAGAGATACTTCATTTTCCCATTTTGTAATTATGATACATTATAAAATAAAACGTTAAAATTATTAAACCACTAGTCTTAACTTGCCTGTTGATCTTTGAAAGCCTGAAGAAGTACTTCAGTATCAGTGACAGTGAGAGGAAAAGAAAGGTGAGGCCCGGGATAAGAGGTTGGTACTTGTATTATTCTTTCGTACTCTGTCATGGCATGATCTGAGATTGATATGGCATCAAAATCACTACTAGCAGAGAAAAAGTGGGAGCTGATTTCTATAAAGGAAGCAGAAAATGCAGCTAATAAATATTTTATCTTGTTAATAATCATCTCCATAGATGTAGCATTTACTCCTACTCTGAGCAGACTCTAGGCTAAGCCAGACAATGGGAGTGGGAGGAAGAGGGGTGCCATCTTAATTAAATGTCTATGGAGATTCTCAGTCATCCAGGTCATGGTTATCCCAAAGGTGCTTTTTCAGGAGGCAACTGGATTTTCTTTGTTTTTCATCCAAGAAGCTTCTTCAGCTCTGACTGGATGGTGGGGAATGGAAGGATTTATATTCCTTGCAGACAGCTGGTCATTTTCATGCAAGGAATATAAATGCAATCAGAGCTGAAGAAGCTTCTTGAATGAGAAGCGAAACATCTTCAAAGAAAAAACAAGAAAGTCCAGTTGCCTCTTGAAAAAGCACCTTTGGGATATTCTGCAGCTATAGTATTGTATTGCTTTGCATGTTGGGCTAAACTGCACTTAAGAATGGAAATGCAAAGTTCTCTTTTTCAGTCTTTTAAAAGTTTGTTGTTTTGCAAGAGCAATTGCAAGATATAATTAATGCTGCTTTCAATAAACTATGTTGTTTTTAACCACTTTGTCGAGTCCAACTCTTGGTGACTTTATAGGCAAGTACTCTCCATGCTACCTTGTCAAGCACAGCTTTTTTCAATTGTTGCATGATAACATAGATTCAATAAACTATAAACTATGTATATTCTTTTTCATGGATATAATTACAAAAAATATTTGTTTATAGCATGTTCAGAGCTATATATCAATGTTTCTCAACCCTGGCAACTTTAAGATAGATGGGCTTCAACGCTAAGCATGGATGCCTTCGGAAATCTGGTTGTTGAAGCCCACCTATACAGTTACCAAGGTTGAGAAACCTTGTAAAGATTCACAATTGTGCAGCCAGACTTTTCTTTGTTCCCCCTCCGTTTTTCCCTCCCTGGGAGCCCCTAATTGTGGAAATTGCAAAAAGGATTATTCCCACGATCAATATTTTTTTTTCTTCCACTAGAGGACACCTATTTTCGTTACAGTGCACAAACTAAACTTCCTAAACTATAAATATTAGTGAGCCACCATTTCTAGCATCCCTCCATTAGTCTTGTTAGCTGTAACTGGTGGGAGTTGCAGTTCAAATTTTGGGGGACATGTTCTCCTCTGCATGAAAAAATAATAACTAGTTTACATAGAAAAACTCATTAATAATTATTTTTAAGACAGAAAAAATACTTAACACCAGAATTACAAACATTGCCAGATATAATTTTTCATAGGAACATTTTCTTAGGAATACACTGGCATATTCAAAATTAGGTAATCATGAAAATATTTTAGCATGAGTATGAAAATAAAATATTTGTTGTTTTCTACTTGCTATTGATTCTAAATTAATGAAGCTTTTTATAAGAGCTAGAATTCTTGAATATCAATATTAAAAATATATTGAGCAAGATAGCAAAGGTGCTAGTTCTTCTCCTATACCACTGTGGTTATGAATAATCGATTCTTATTTTAATTGATCATTTAATTGGAACAGCACAGGCACTTATCCAATTCTTAGATATTCACTCTTGGAAAACATAAAGTTTTCATTTGCATGTGTGAATCCTGAAGTGGCTCTGGAGATACTTACAAAAAAATAGTATCGATACCTATAGGTTTGTCTGTGGCTGACTTGCCATTTTTCTAAGCAAAATATGTCAGTGGAATTTATAAAAAATTATGTATTTTTCTAAAATTCTCACCTGGATCTGTCTTACTGGTCTGAGTAAAATGGTCCAGCATAAACGTGAAGAATTTGGAGAGCTGAGTAAGAAAACATCTGTTAGTTTGTAAATCAAAATCACTGATCTATTACACATTTACCAGGGATCTACCTACTAGAACAGAGGTGGGGAACTATGTCCTTTTTATGACTTGTGGACTTCAACTCCCAGAATTCCTGAGCCAGCCATGTTCCCCACCCCTGTACTAGAAGAATGCTTGACAAAATCCCAAGCATCATACTTAGTTTTAATGCTACCCCTTGCATGCATGAAACCTTTTCCAGCTCAAAAGACATAAGTATAAATAACTCCTATTCTGTGCATAAAAACTGGTCTACTTCTCTATCACTCCTCCCTGTTCCTGATTAGTGCACAGAGCAGATGTTAGATCAGGAGTAAGCAACTCTTGGCCCTTGCACTACAGCATGCCTACCACCTAATTTCCTGTAGCCATTGGCCTCATTTCTAAAGCTTCTTCAGGCAGTCATCTCAGATGTATGGCAAGAACACACTGTACAGGTAGTCGTCGACTTACGATCACAATGGAGCCCAATATTTCTGTTGTTAAGTGATATAGTTGTTAAGTGACTTTTGCCCCATTTCACAACCTTTCCTGCCACAGTTATTATGCGAATCACTACATTTGTTAAGTTAGTAACACGTTTGTTAAGTGAGTTTGGCTTCTCCATTGACTTTGCTTGTCAAAGAGTGCAAAGGGTGATCACATGACCCTGGGACACTGCAACTGTTATAAATATGAGTCAGTTGCCAAATGTCTAAATTTTGATCATGTGACCATGGGGATGCTGTAATGGTGTGTAGCTGAGAGGGGAGTTGGGGTGGAATCGGCACTGGCTGGGATCGGTGCTGACTGGGAGGCTTTGTTGGAGCTCTGCGGATGCGGTGGAGAGGTTGGGAGCTCCGGCGGCCTCCACCGTGGCTGGCGGTGGGGCATGGCTTTTGGGGAAGGATTTTTTAAAGGGGAAGAGGAGATTGACTGAGGGAGAAGAAGCTTTTGTCCCTTTTTCCAGAGGGGCAAGCCGGGCAGAGGGACAGCGAGGTAGGCAGTTGGGAAGAAGAAGCTTTTATCCCTTTTCTTCCAGAGGGGCAAGCCGGGCAGAGGGAGAGCGAGGTAGGAGGTTGGAGAAGCTTTTATCCCTTTTTCTGCAGGGGCAAGCCAGACGGGGGGGGGGATAGAGATAGAGAGGTTTCTGTAGAGCAAGCTTGAGAGAGAGAGAAGGGAAGAGAGAAGAAGAGAATTCAGTGGGGAAAGGTCAGAGAGAGAAGAGGAGATAGAATAAGTGGGGAGGGTCCTGTGAGCTGCTGAGAGAGACTGACCATCATCACCTCACGTGAGCTGCTGCTGAGAGAGAGACTGACCGGTAAAATCAAGCATAGCAATTGACATTCCTGGGATGCTTGGCCAGAAGAGTGAATTCTTCAGACACTGAGGGCTCCTGTCCCTGACCAGAGGGTATACGTGGTAGACAAAGGTGGACCGAGATTCTTCCCACTCTTATGTGTTCTTGGAGTGGAAGAAAAGGGTTCCGGAGAGCTTTCAGGTTGAGAGCCTTCAGAGAAGGGAAGAGAGGTTGAGAGAAGGGAAGAGAGAAGGAGAGGATTCAGTGGGGAAAAGTCAGAGAGAGAAGAGAAGATAAAATAAGGGAGGGTCCTGTGAGCTGCTGAGAGAGACTGACCATCATCACCTCACATGAGCTGCCTGCGAGAGACTGACCATCATCTCATGTGAGCTGCTGCTGCCAGAGATGGGAGCTGCTTGTTGACAGAGACTGACCACCATCTTCACCTCACGCGAACTGCTGCTGCCACAGACTGACCATCATCATCTCATGTGAGCTGCTGCTGAGAGAGACTGACCACCATCACCTCACACAAGCTGCCTGCTGAGAGACTGACCACCATTACCGCACGTGAGTTGGTGCCGACAGAGACAGAGCACCACCGCACCTTGTGTCTCTGTCAAGCAGAGGTGTCCAAGCAGCCAGAGCAAGAGGGCCAGGAGAACCCAGACTTCAGCGGACCCTTTGGGGGTGACGCTACAGGTAGTAAGTATAAAAATGCTCATAAGTCACTTTTTTCAGTATGTTGTAACTTCTAATGATCTAAATGAACAGTTGTAAGTCAAGGACTATCTGTGTTGGCTTGCTTGTTACAAGGGAAGTCAATAGTGTCAGGAAGAGAAAAGGATAAAGCAAAGTTCAAGAGATGTTTCTTTCTCTGGCCTTTCTCTCTCTGCCTCCTGTGTCCCAAAGAAAACTCATATTGCTGCCAGTGTAGTGCAGGGCTTTTCAACCTTTTCACCCATTGTACCACTTTTAGGATATGGCAATATTCGAGTACCACCAGTCGTCTAGCAAGGTGTCAAAAACCTGATGTCCAAAAAAAGGAAAAAAGTGATAAAGTACAGGTAGTCCTCGACTTACAAAAGTTTGCTTAGTGACCGTTCAAAGTTACAATGGCACTGAAAAAAGTGACTTATGATCATTTTTCACACTTATGACCATTTCAGCATTCCCAGGATCATGTGATTTACATTCGGATGCTTGGCAACTGATTCATATTTATGATGGCTGCAGTGTCTCAAGGTCACGTAATCCCCTTTTGCAACCTTTTGACAAGCAAAGTCAATGGGGAAACCAGATTCACTTAACAACCTTTTATATTGGGGTGTCAAACTCAATTTCATTGAGGGCCACATTAGCATTGTGGTTACCATCAGGGGGGGTTTCCTTCCTTCTTTTTCCCTCCCTCCGTGCCTCCCTCCTTCACATTCCCATCTCATTCCTTCCTTCCTTCGTCCCCTCCCTCTTTCCCTTCTTCTCATTCCCATCTCCTTCCTTTCTTCCTTCCTTCCTCTTCTTATTTTCTTGCCTCACATTCCCATCTCCTTCCTTCCTTCCTTCCTCCCTTTCTTCCTTCCTTTTCCCCTCCCTCCGTGCCTCCCTCCTTCACATTCCCATCTCCTTCCTTCCTTCCTTCCTTCCTTCCTTCCTTCCTTCCTTCCTTCCTTCCTTCAGTGCTTCAGCGGGGCTGAGCAGAAGCACCATTCAGCTGGAGTCCAGCACTGATCCTGGCACTTCTGCTGAGCTCCACAGAAGTGCCAATCATCTGGAGCCTGGTGCTGATCCTGGCGCTTCTGGGCGGCTCAACAGAAGCACCAGAATCAGTGCTGAGCTCCAGCTGATTGGTTATTCTGCAGGGCTCAGCGGAAGTGCCAGGATTAGTGCTGGGCTCCAGCTGATCGGTGATTCTGCAGGGTTCAGCAGAAGCACCAGGATCAGTGCCGGGCTCCAGCTGATCAGTGATTCTGCAGGGCTGTGAAACAGCACCACCGTATGTCCAGCCTGGAGAGTGGATTTGAGTAAAGGAACACTTTCCGAGAGCAACTGCCAAATTGTCAAGTCCCACCAAGTTCTTCTCAGCTCACCCACAGAGGCTAATGTCAAGGGCATCAAAGCGTGGATCCATGTTTCCAGATTGAAGAAAATTCTACTACCCCAGTGGGAGTGTCAACCCATCACTGATTTGAAGCTACATTTGCAATGAACCCGAGCTTCACTTGCAGACCTTTTTGATCACCTGGATTCCTGGCTTCTTGTTGTTCACTTTTATAACAACTTGCCTATCACTCTGGATTATTATGAGCACTGGGCTCCAGCTGATCTGTGCTTCTGTGGAGCTCAACAGAAATGCCAGGATCAGTGCCGGGCCCCAGCTGATCATCACTTCTGCTGAGCCCTGTAGAAGTGTCGATTAACTGGAGCTTGGCACTGATTCTGGTGTTTCTGCTGAGCCCTGCAAAATCACCAATCAGCTGGAACCTGGCACTTATCCGGACACTTCTCCTGAGCCCTGACAGCCCTGCAGAAGAACCGATCAGCTGGAGCCCAGCACTGATCCTGGTGCTTCTGCTGAGCCTTGCAGAATTGCCATTCAGCTGGAGCCTGGCGCTGATTGTAGTGCTTCTGCTGAGCCCTGACAGCCCTGCAGTTTTCCAGTACAGGAGATGGAGAATCCACCAATGGGTTTTCACTGTCTGCCTGCTCTTGAGACCAAGTAGCCAAACTTGACACGCCCCCTCTTGCTAGGAGATCCAATCTTGACTTGGTCTCAAGCTCTTGAAGACGTATCAAGGTTGACTCTCAGGTTTAGAGATCTTCAATTCAATTAGCAGGTCAGATACCATTGTTGGATTCTACTTGCTTTTAAATTTTATATTCCTTAATAACTGATTCTCTCTCAAAAGAAGGTTAATTTCCCCCAAGATGCTGGACTCAGCGCAGTCTCTAATCAGCTGATTTGAGGCTTCTGGGTGTGTGTGGGGGGAAAGTACTTCTCCGCTCTTTTCCCAAGGACTCTGGGGAGGGGGAAGAAAATTTTTTTTCCAATTCCCCGTGGGCTTTTCTACGACGCTCAGCACTGCAGCCACTATCAGCCCCAGAGCTTTCCCCCTAGTCCACAACACCTTCGGAGGCCGTTTTAAACGGCCGAAAGTCGCGGCCGCCGTTTTGGACGGCTGAGGAGCTCAGAAATCAAACGGAGGTTTTCCTTCACTTTTGCAATCAGCTTCTGCAAAGTTTTAATTGGAGCCCTGTTTTCCCTGCACAGCGCTTTGCGGTGCAGTCAGCTTACCCCCACAGATTAATATTACCTTGCCAAGCCTCCAGAGGCTGTTTCAAACGGCCCGAAAGTTGAGGCCGCCATTTTGGATGGCCGACGAGCCCAAAATTCAAACGGAGGTTTCCTTGCTGTTACAATCAGTTTTCTGAAGCAAAATTATTGAAGTCCTGCTTTTTGAGACAGGGGCTTGCACAGCAGTCCTCTAATCAATCTCAGGAAGCCTTAACAGAATTTGCCGCAGCCGCCATTTTGGGCGTGCCGCGCAGTCGGCCTTGCATTGCCATCAGCCAAATAATTAACTGAAGGCCTCAACACATTACAGGGCATTTCCATCATACCTCCAGGCCATTAATTTCAGCATAGCTGAGAAACCATTCTAGCCCTGCACAGCGATTACCA